GAACAACTGCACGGGCACAAAAAATAATTCACGATCACCTAAAGACGACAATCGTAATGAATTCGGATAGCAGTCACGCGAAACGTGAAACCGTTTCGATGATGGAGATCGCTGCGGTCAACGTATACGAGGGACTGCAAAACTTCTGTGGCGACACGCACCTACTTCCGATCCAGACGCAGGCACAAGTCTTTGGTAACCAAATTATAGGCATAACTGCAAATGAAACCTAACACCTTCTACAGGCAACTCACGGTCGTCAATAAACAACTCTCGATCACGTAAATGACCTACCTACTTGGATGTGTTCAATATAAAAATTATATTATTTTACTTATAATTTGCCTTCTACATAATATTATTATATCATTTTCTATAATTATTTCATGAATACGATAAGACACGGCGCCATCACGAACATCCGAAATCACATCGATGCTACTTTAAATCTATACATATAAAATCCAAATACCATTAACTCACCGATCGCTGTATCTCAAAAACTACTCAACGTACTAACTTGAAATTTGGAATAGTGGTTCCTCTAATACTTCCACCGTGCAATAAAAAAGGATTTTTAAAAAATCGCATTCAAGGCAGTCAAACTTTTGAAAAATAAATACATCATTCTCCAGTTAGTTACAAAAATCTCAGCAGGCGTCCCACAAAGTAGTGACATCGCTTCTTTTCTCTATACTTTATTCACAGCAGACATCCCATGTCTGATGATCCTTCATGTCTTTCATTGTCCTTTTCATCATTGTGCTATACATTTTACTTAGTGTACCCCCTAGTACAGATTGTAAATATTCATTTAAATAAACGAAATTCTTTGAAAAAAAAATATATATATATTATCTATAATTCTTAAAAGTATCAGTTAAATATCACAATAAAATAATTTAATGTATATTTTCATATGAAAAAAAATAAAATACCTAAAACATTATATATTTATATGTTTATATATATTTTGCAAAATATGTTGTTTCTCTCATTCTCTATCAATAAAATGAATTATATATTATTGTACTTCATACAGTAAATTAACGATTAAGACATTAACATTAGTTTTTTTATGTACCTAGTTCTTTGTCAAATACTCAAATTTTACTGAAATATTAAGAAATGTACTTTCAACTCTCAACATGACATCGAGCATACGTGTATCAAATTGATTTTATTATTTTTATTACCATTATTATTATTATTTTATTTTTAAATGTGTAATTTTTCAATATTATCATTGTTTATTTACGCGTTGTAATATTATTTATAAACCCTTTACTGCATATAATATCAATTTTTTTTTTTTACTCTTTTTATATATAATATATGTAGAAGAAGAATAATATATATATATTATACATATATTCTTCTTCTTTTTGGTTTCGACCTTTAAGACATTACCGCTAAATACAAATCTTGCCACCAGTCCCTGTCATAAGCAGATTTTTTTCCATCTTATTCCTAGTCCTATCGTTGTTATGTCCTTTTTCACACAGTCTTCTCACCTCAACCTGAGTCTTCCTAAAGGTCTTGCTTATGACAGGCATGACCCCCCACATGAGTCTTCTTTTTGTGATCTCCTTAACTATATCAGGTTATATATATATTGGGCGCCCTAATGTCAGTCATTATAAGACTAATAGTAATTTTTTTTTAGTATTATAATTTTGTTCTGGCTTCTGAGTTAGCGCCTATTAAACTGATGTCATATTTCATTTTTATTATTATAATTCATAAAAATTAGTCACATTTGTCTACTACCTGCACAAATTGTGACAAACAACTACACTTTTGTAAGATTTATCGCAGTGCTATCAGGAAAACAGTTTTTTTTTACAACAATTAGTAGTAAGGAATCCCATTTTTTAAACTATTTGTTTAAAGCGATACTTTCAAGATGGCGACAAAAAACATAAATACTTTGTTGTCGACGATCTCTGAAGTTCACAAATTATTTTTGTCACATTTCGAATAATCAATTAAGAACCTTGAAGTTAGCATTACAATGTTAGCAGAACTTTTCAAAAACCTCCCAACAATTTCCAAATAGATTTGTTGGACATTGTTGGATACTTGTTCGAATTTGTTGAACCCCTATTTTTTAACTGCCAACTTCACGCCTATCATAACAATTTTAATTAAACTTTTCAAAAATATACATTATATACATGAAATATTACCTAATATAAGAACAAGAAAAAAAAAATATTACCAGGTGAAATTAGTAACAATATGCTATATGAAAATCCTTTAAAAAAGTTTGAAATAGGAGTTCATAACAGAATATTAGATATAGTTGTTGAGAGTATTAAAAAAAGATTTATAAAACACAGAAAATTGTTTAAATTTATCATGTTTGTCACCAAGTTATTTTTTATATATAACTCAAAATTGTTTGCCTGATCAAGCATTGACTGCTTTGTATGATAAGTTAAAGTTTGAATTCAAATATAACTTATAACGGTCTAAAAGATGAGTTAATACGTTTTGCAAAAAATTGGGATACATTAAAGAAAAGTTACTGAATCATTTGCTACTTCATACTCTTTGGAGCTAAAACAAGAATAAGATGGTGACACTGAATCTAAAATTAACCCTGAATCACAAAATATGACTTGCAAGTGTTGCATAAACTGTGTTGTTTGTTGTTAGAACATTTTACAAAAATATCATTTATATTGTGATGCATATGCTAATTTATTTTTAGCATACAAATATGTACTTACTTTACCATCAACCCAAGTATCATGTGAAAGATCTTTTTCTTTCTTAAAAAAATATTAAATCAAGACTTCATAGTCAACTTTCAGATCCAAAACTAGAAGCATTCATGTTAATGGCTATCGAAAAACATAAATTAACACTTTTAGATTCAGATAAAATTATAGAAGAATTACAAAAATGGAGTTCTCTTTTAAAATAAAAACTTTCATTGTAAATTAAAAGTTCCATTTTTTATTCAAATAAAAAAAAATTACTAATATTTTATTATGTAACATTTATATGTAGATAATACTATTGTTTACCATTAATATTATTTTTATAATTAAATTTTATTGTTAAAGGTTGATTTTATAATAACACTGATTACAGTAGTAATCAGCTTCTTTTATATACATATATTTTTTTTAATATTGTTTATTGCTACTGGTAAGATATATGTTTTAGTATGTAAGTAAATAGTAATATTGTAGAATTTTTCAAATAGTACCTATGTATTTAAAGTAGGAAAAATGATTTTTATTTATAAATTACATCTGATAACAACTAGGATTTTATATCTGCCTATGCAAACCTCACTAATAAAAAATAATATAGGTAATCATTTTTATATGAACAATGAATACATAATAAAATGCTAATAAATATTTTCAACCCCTTTAAAAGGCTAAAAAAAATTATTACTTCATATGGTACACTTGCCAGTTGATCTCCTCCCAGTCACACAACAAATAGTGAGCCGATAAAATTGTATTTTACCGGGCTGGTCCAAAATTCCAATCCGTCCCAGTTTTAGCCGATAATGTAGTTTATTGATCCAGTTCGAACTTTTCCTTTTAATTTTACCTTTCAGTTTTTATAGTACCCAAAAAACTCATCAGTTGGCTTCATCAAACCTTGTATTATCTGCAATGATGTGCATCAATTGACTATATACCATGTCATAAAATAATTATAATGATGTACATCATTCCAGTGTTAGCCTGGTACTTAAAGGGCTCTGGATGCATTTTTTAAATAGGCCCTCAAATATGTAACTTCATAAAATCATGCAAATTGCTTATAAGTAGTCCAAAATGTTATAACTTTTAATGGTACCTTATTTAAAATTCACAAACAATTAAGTTAACCACATAGCTATTATTATTATTTAACATTGTACTATTTTAAATAAATACTCTGATTATGTAGTTAACATTATTTGTGTACTTAAAATAAGGCACTATCAAAAATTATTATTATTTAACTATTTATAAATATTTTTTTATCAATGTTATTGATATTTTTTGTAATAAATTTTTGTAGTTTTAAATACTGGTGGACTTTAGTGGAATAAACATTTTAAATTTAACACAGATATAATATTTAAGACAAAATAATACATAGTTGTTTTTCATTATTTCAATGTTTGCTGTTATCCCCTACTGTCACTAACATACGCAAAGACACAAATACACCACAGTCTTCAATTTATTATCAGGTAAATTATTATAAAATAGTTATACCATACTGTAATGATGTGCATTGTTAGCCTGTTAAATACTGCACAAATAAATTATAATAATATACACCATTCGATTTTAAAACATTTTAAAAAATAATAGATTATGGTTCTTTCAATACCTGCATGGGCAACGCAAATCAAACAAAAATGTCCTAACCCTTCAATACTCCATTGACATCATAAGTAGGACATATCTTGAAGCGATCAGTCCAAAGTGCATCCGGTCATACCCCTCTAAATAACAGGGATATACAACTTTCTCCCGAACCTCTTACACAAAGACCGTTGGTGCGTGCACAAGGAGCTCTTGCCCCTAGGCCACCGGCGAGTGCGTGGGACTCTTGATCTCAGATCGTCAGTGCACGCGCACCGACCATCAGATTAATAAAGGAGTCTTTTGTATTGAGTAACCACCGTGTACGAATATTTAACTTTTATAATTAATTTGTTTGATTAGAGTTTTCTGTGCAAGTGTTTAAAAGTGTCCAACTGCAGCAAGGTTTATAGATAATATAATAGATAAAATACTATCATCTAGAGATAGATAAAATTGTTTAAAAATCGATATTTCGATATATGGCATTTTAAATATCATTAGTATCGATGTCGGATTTCCGAGGAAAATATCGATTGTTTTTCGATGTTATACAATATTTGCATAGCATAAATAGCAGAGAAAAAAGTCATCCAATAATAACAATCAATCGCTTATTTTTATAAGTCTGGAGGAAGGGGTCCAGTTTTCGATTTTAGAACCTTTAGAATTCTAGAATACCTCATATGGGTTTCAATGGCGATCCCGAATTCCACAAATCACGATAAGAACTGCGCAAGCTAATCTCTTGTTTATCTACGGCTCAAACAGGATATATTGTCAAAATTGCTATACAAATTATTTTAAAAATATACTATAATACAAACTTTTTAATACTTCAAAGTAATACCTCAACATTTTCTTCGATAAATCAAAGGTAAAACATCGGTATATATAACGAAAACATCGATAGTTTTTGCCCACTATCATCTGATACCATAAAAACAACACGATCAGACGACTACTGACAACATTTTGGTCCAGAATCGTTGACGCCCAATTTATCGTTCAACGAAATCCACTGCAATGGGCCACGAGCGTACATTAAAACAAGTAGACAACGAGTTGGACGAGACTTGTGTACAAATGGTCCAGTTGATGAACGACTATCTTGTATGTATTGAACGGATTGAACAATGTTTACGTAACGGATGTGTTCATCTTGCCAAGTCCAGGTACTTGATGGGCAATCGCAGCGTGTCCAACCTACAACTCCCAACTGTTAGACTGTATACAGCCCGCTCAAAAATTGAGAATGACAATGAAAATGACAGCATTCATTTAGTAACAAACAAAGATGGTGATGATCCAATCAAACGTTTTGGAGTGCTTGTACCGGGTAGTCTTCGTATAGCTCAAGAAGGGTTTTGCAAATGCTTAGAGTCAGCTGTAGAAGCTACAAATGTACAAAGAAAAATGGAAAAATTGCAAAAATGTGTTTCAAATTTGAAAAATGTAAGAAATCAAATGATAAAAACCAGTATTTTGTAAGAAAAATTAAAAATAAACATTAAGTACTCGTTCAATAATTACAAATGTGTGTTTGCTTAATTTTAATTACATTTATGGAAAATTTATAATAAAAAAAAATAATTATTATTATTATACCTAAACAATAACAATAATTCTGAGACTGATTAGGTATTTAAAAGTGATGTTCCAACAATTATATCTGAAAATTTCTACTTTTTGCGTTAACAGTGTCTAAATTTAATAATGTAACAACGGAATCCATCCAAATTTTTAAAACTATTACTGTCAATGGTTTATATTACCCTTAAAATATATATATACATGGGAGAGTTATTGGTTTAATACTATAAGCATAAATCAACCATAGTCTTACAATTAGTTATTATTATATAATATTACAATTTGAACATATTAGTTATTTAGTTATGGTTGTAATAGTGAAACAGAAGGTAGGGATGAGCATCACTGTTAACTATTATTTATTACAAACTCATTAATAGGCTATAGTTTCATTTAAAATAATAAAAGTGAATAAGAACTGCTAATATTTTTAGAACACTAATGGAGAAGAGTCAAATGTCGAAAATTAAATTTCAATAACATAAATATTATACATTAAATTATTATTATTTGTTAAGGTGAATCAATTATAATATTTAATTAATATTTTTAGAAATAATTGTTGGTTTGTGGATCACTCTCTGTACATATATTAATGTATATAAACATATAATAGTTGACTTAAAATAAGTTAAATTTTCTGATTTTTGTGATTTCGAATTGATTTTAAAGAGTCATCCATCTCGTTTTTCACATAATACTGCATCCCAAACAAATGAGTTTGGGTTGAAAGATAACTGAAATTAAATATCAATAATATAATTTAACAGAACTTTATGGTTATAAATCTAAAATTACAATTTTGATGACAAGGTTTTAAAAAAATACTGTTTACTTTATAGAATAATGTTAAAATTATATATTTACTTTAACAGTCCATTGCTGTATGAATAAATAACCGTTAGTTTTTCACCTTCCACTTCAGTGTATGCCAATATTTTTGGCAAATTTTCTAAAAAAATTTAAAAAAAATTAATGTTACATTATATATATATATATATATATATATATAAGATTAAAAGAATAATGAAAACACTAATGAAATTGTCATCAGCAATAAACTTCAAATGTACGAATAAAACATTAATATTGTATATCCCTAGACAAAAATTCTACACATGTTTTAATTAAAAATATGAACTTGAGAAACAAATTTACTACATTCTATACAAATGTGTTATTTTACTTAAATTTACATTATTTTAAACTTGTTAAGTAATATTAATTCTGTTCCCTAAGAAATACTTTAAAAAATGCATAAAAAACTTACAAGCTCAAAATTTCTTTAAATTTAATAGTTTTTTTTATACCATTTAAACGTTTCAACAAATCAACTACTATAGCACTCTTAAAATTAAGGTTGAGATAAATGCAGAAAATGTATTTATGTCTAATTTTACAACTATAGGCATAGGTATTACGGATCAATAAAAATATTCATGTTTAAATTGCCTCTCCGGTCCCTATGAATACCACTTAACCCTATTTAGTAGTGCAGAGTATAATAAGTAATAAGCATTGTATGGTCAACCATTGTTATTTCATTATGGACAAAGTGTACATGTTTGGTTTTTAAACTTGGTTTAATTGGCAAGTCAATTGATCTGCTTGATACAATTTCAAATATAGTAACTATTATATTTTTTAATTATATAAGTTGAAACAAAACTAGTTAAGTTTAATATAAAATTAATATTAATCCATAAAATATTATTATGAATAAAATTCATACCCAAAAGCCTTAAAAGGTGGTAAACACCATAAATAATTGCTGGCTGTTTTATTTCTTCATCATATGCACTATCTGGAACAGCTTTCCATGTATCTGCTTTAGATACATACTCATCACGTACTTTCTCAAACATATCTTGAACAATTTTTGAACATTGAGATTTTGTTAAACTGTCAAAAATATACAATTTGATCAAACTTTGTAGAATAAAATAAAATAATTAATGAAATACCTGCAATCTGAACATGTTTTTTGGGACTGAGCATATTGACTGTTTGAACTACTTGTTTTATCTCGTTTGCCTACTTTTAAATAAAATATAAACATTTAATAAAATATAAGTTTAATAACAATATCATTTAAACAACCTTTAACACAGTTTTTATTTTCATGAACATTATTTTCTAGTTCTTCGCCATTTGGAATATTAAAATGTTCTTGTTCACCATTCCTTAATTGTCAAACATTTTAAATAAATAAATAAAAGAAAAAAAAATGATAAGCAATTAAAAAATAACATTCATACTGGGATGAAGAATTTACAGGTGGTTGAACAGCACATTTTAATGCCTCATAATATTGGGCTTGTTCATCTTCATTTACTAATAATCTCCTGAACAAGTAAGTGTTAAAACAAATTCGCAGACCATCTAATACTTCTACACAAATTTTGTAACTACAAAAAAAAAAAAAAAAATATAGTAAATTTCAAATAACTAACAAAAATTTCATAGCAAATGCTATGATAAACAGAGTTAAAAACAATGTGCATAATCTAAGAATTCTATATCAATAAAAACTAACCGTTTTTCTAGTTGTTGTTTGTCAAGTACTTCAGGTTGACGGATCTTTTTAGTAGTTACTTTATTATCTGTAAAGTTATTTCTAGCTAAATGCTTTAGGTAATTTTCCAATAGTGTAACTACATTAGGCTGGCAAGGTAACTTCACTAACTAGAATCATATTTAAAAGAATTCCAAGTTAAAAACAAATCTACTGTAACTGAATATAATCTGTTCTTACAGTATTCTTTTCATGAGCTAAATAACAGTTCAATCCCGTATGATATTTTAAATTATCCGGAAATTCAAGTATCGGTAACTTTCTTTTAGGTAACAGTATTGTATCACTAGGCACTGGTATGATATCGTCTTCTATCATAGACTTTTCATTTATAGGATTTATTTCTGGCTCTAATATTACTACTGGTTTTGATTCGGTTTTCACTTTTTTTTTCCGTTCTTTTCTATACAAGTGGCCACCACTGAAAGAACAATTACAAATGTTTGTTATTGAACTTAAGAAAAAATGACAGTATTATACTTACGGCGTAAGTTGAGCTTCTTCAGCCAGTTCTTTTTGAAGTTTACGATTGTCTTCAGTATCTTTTAAAATAAATTCATCAGTAACATATCGATCCCATGTAGAATTCCATCCCTGAAAAACACATTTCATGAAAACAGTAAAAAAATGAGAGAAAATTAAACAAATTAATTAACATGAGAGAAAATCAGAATTCGGGGACTCACTTGAAAATGAATGAGAAACTTGAAGAATTTGCGACCTTGTTCATCTTTTTCAGGAACCACTTTTAAAACCTATTAATGCGCATGATAAAAAAGAAAAAAATCTGTTACTAACAATTAACAAGAATGATTTGAATTTACCTTTGAATCATAGAGAACTTTGGTTTTCGCAGGATCTGGCTCGTAACATAAAACTTTTTCGCCTTCGTCAAATTTGCATTTAGTTAATACTTTTTTCATAGCCATGGTTGACGATCGACATTGCAACAAAGAAGTCAACGATGAATAAATCGAACAGCTCCTACTTCTCAGATCGCCATCGTGTTCGGCACGAACATGAAACACGAAAACAACGAACAAATACGATATTATTTTTACATTACCATCATAAGAACAATAATGTAAATAAATTAATTCGTTTTTTGAAAACACTAAATTCCTTATCACTACGCGCTACTATCATTTATCAAGGACGCTATTCAAAATGTCCATAATAACCAGTGATATAAACAATTTTTATCGTTATTGTTTAAAATCTCAAGGAATAAATGAAAGATTTTTTTTTTTCTAACAAACGTAACTCGTGACTTATTCTACGTCCTCGACTCACAATGGTCCAATGATATAGTGAAATAACGTAATTGTAATTTTTACGATCAATTCGTTGCATCTACGTTTCTATTACAGTTAGGTTATACGAATACTCTAAGCCCTCGAAAAACATAATCCACCAATAAAACTTTACGTGTTACGATTTCGTGCGTGCTGTTGCCGACAAATTGGTGTAAATATAATTTTTAATCACACCTAAATATACAATGCACAGGCCACATATATAAAAATATATTTTTTAAATTTTGAATTGTATACATCTATGAGTATTATGAAGAATCTGTCCCGGCATTGAATCAAACTTAATTAAAAATCACTTTTTTGTTAGTCAAAATGTTGGTGCGTTATGTTTAACCGTTAAATAATTTTTTTAACTTCTATTATATGTAACATAATATAAATATAATATTAATATTATTCACATTTTAATTGAATGATTTCAATTTAAATCCAACTAGAGATGGATTTAAAAGCATTATTGAGTAAATCATTTTCATTCTTTATCAACTTTAAACGTTTAGGTAAAAATAAAGTATAATCCTTAGTTTGTTTTGAGACTCTAAAAATCTAATTATTGTGTTCAAAATGTTATAAAAAAAGTGTCCGGAAATTATCAACAAAAGATGCTTATCTCTCGCTTGTTCTTCAGCCATATTTTTTTCTCCTCAGTCTCACCTATCAAAAATCTGTTTCATCAAGATTATTTTAATTTGAAAAAATTGTTGATTGATTTACTAAATATTTACACCTTTGTTCAGATCTCATATATACTAAACAATTTTTTTTGCAACATCAATCAAATTATTGCATGGACAAAATCAATTTCTTTAAATTGTAGATATCTATTGTAGATAACATATGATAACAAATAATTTTCCAAAAAAATAACATTATTAAAATAAATTGAAATTATGTTATTTTATTTAATATATTTTTATCAGTTTTATTAGCTTTGTGGTCAACATTTTTTGTACCAGAAATTTCTTCAAATGTCTCCAATAATGCAGATTACTTTTAATTTATTACGGTTAATACTCTATCATGAGACGTTCATTCTGTAGTTGAAAATTGATTATTTAACATTGCCAGTCATTAGGATATAACTATATTTTCCATTTTATAAAAAGAGCTGTTCTCTTTATGTGCGTGAGGTTGACCCCTCTAAATCAAGCTAGCGACTCCAAACCTTCACAGACATTTTGAAATTAATTTGCTATAATTTGCTATGTAGTTTTCAGAATTTGCATACCCATAGTTTTTCCAGAAATTCATATTTTCCGTTCGGGGGGCCAACTTCACCAAAACCCCCCAATTTTAAGCTAGCGACTCCAAACCTTTACAGACATTTTGCAATTAATTTGCTATAATTTGCTATATAGTTTTCAGAATTTGTATAACGATGATTTTTCTGGAAATTAAGATAATCGTTTGAATACGAGAGTTTTACTACTTCAACAAATTTTTCATCAAGAACAAAGTGTTACTTATGTAAAATTAATTGATTCAAGATGCAATGCTTCATTTATTATAATTAATTTATTAAAAACTGCACTTTATGCCATCGAAAGTATTGAATGCCCAAGAACAGAATGCAAAAATAATAGAAGGAAAATTTGCAATCTAAGAATTATATTGAAAATGAAGCATTATTTTTCCAATTTTCAAAATGATCTGAATCAATATTTATCAGAATAACACTATACATGCGTTGAAGATAACTACGATGAAATAAAAACATCTACAAGAGTAATTGAAAATCATTTATTTATTGAAACTAATATGGTAGCTGATGGACATCAATTTTCATTAAATTATTTTATGTGATCGTTCTGATAAATAAATTTAATATCGCATCTTAATTCTTTTAATATTTATAAATATATTATTGTTTTATAAATTACAGCTACCTATTAAGAACTTATAAAATAAATTAAATTATTAAAACATCAATGTTCAGCTTATTCACATATAATTACATTAAATGTTTAATTTGTTCATTGTAGGTATATTCTCCGAAGAATAGTCCATTATATCGCGTATGTAAGACGATCAGATAGATGCTGGGAAATACATAATGATTTAATTTAAAAAATTCAAAAAATTTCAAATCCTTAAAGAATTCATATAAATCCACATTTAATTATATATGTGAAAATCTAAAAATTGTTTCTTTTAATAATTATTTTAAATTAATTTTAAATAAATATAAGAAATATTTAAAAAACTAAATCGTGTAAGATATGTTTAATGATTTATGATTGAAAAAAAAAATGTTATAAGAAAAACAGTAATAAACAATTCATAATTTAATTCATTGCTTGAATATAGGATAATTTTTAAAGATTTTGTATGATTCAATTCTAAAACAAAATTAAAAAATAACTAAGAATTCTATCATAAAGTATTGCTATAATTGAAAAGTAATATTGGCTTTTTTGACAAAACTAAGTTTACTTCAGATTTAATGGAAAAAATATAGAAACAAGACATGAAAAATGATACCTACTTAAATTAATTTTAATATTAAAACTTTTTGAAAATGGGAGGAGGGCATGTTAGGAATTATTTGAAAATTATGAGTTTGTTTTCTTCAAAACGTTTAACATTAAATCTTAATAAAAACATTTTTTAGTCTTTCAGAATGAATTTAAAATTAATATATTATATACACAGTGTGTTATAATATTATTGAGTGCGTTCAATCACTTTTCTATTTAACATTTTCAAATTCTGAGTAAAAGTGGAATGTATTTGAATTACAAAAGGATTGATTTAATTTGTGTATACAATTTTGACCAGAAAGAGTGCTTTGTGACTTAAAAACCTAGTACTCTCCAAATTAATCTAAAACACTCTGATCGGATGAGAAGGTATATGTAAAATTGTAATCGTACAAGTGTTTTTACTTGATAACTAAGAAATAGAATAGTATTTACATTTAATTAATTTAGATTTGTTTCTAAACTTCTTTCGTAGAGCCCTAGGGCTCCACGGAGAACAGTTTGAGAACCACTGATTTAATCAATTATAACTAAATTATTTTGAATTTTGATTATAGAGACCGTCAAAGAAACGTTGATGTACGATAATGTGTAAAAAAACAAAATCAATCAATTATTGTTTAATCTCCATGAATAATTATTATTAAAAAATGGTTTTATTTTCTTGCTTTTTACATATTTTTCAAATATTATCATTGGGTCCTATTATAGGCTGGAGCTATGAGCCCGTGTATTTGATACACGCTATATACACGGTTATTGTAGCACTGATTCTGATATGTTATGAATATAGATACATATAAATAAAATTTATTGTAATAAATAAATAATTATTATATTGAACATCCGAATATTTTCAGCATCTTACAACGGGAAATATTCTATGATCTAAAATATATATATTTTTGTAAATATTAACACTCATATTTAAATATTACATTTTCTTCATATCTCTAAATTTATTACACTTAACCACTAAGAAAAACATCGGGTATGCAAATTCTGAAATTTACCTAGCAATTTATAGCAAATTAAATGCAAAATTCCTGTTAAGTTTTGGAGTCGCTAGTTTAAAATTGGGGGGCTGTGGTGAAGTTGGCCCCCCGAACGGAAAATATGAATTTCCGGAAAAACTATGGGTATGCAAATTCTGAAAACTACGTAGCAAATTATAGCAAATTAATTGCAAAATGTCTGTGAAGGTTTGGAGTCACTAGCTTGATTTAGTGGGGCCAATTTTACGCATATGTTCTCTTTCTTGCCTTCATAAATTTGATTATAAATTATAACTTTCTTTAATAATATCATACGTGTTCGATGGAACTATGATCAATCTATAGTAAAGCACGTAAATCACCTTAGAAAAATTCAGTTTTAAACCAGATGAGGTACGATTCCTAGGACACATTATAGGAATCATAGTTCTAAACTCAGAAGATGCTTTTTATACAATAACTTAGTTTTTTTTTTAAAGATAAATAATTTAAAACTACAGACTGTTTTATATGGATGGATATATATTGTAATGGATAATGTAATATGGATATGTGAACAAACATTCATTAGAGATTACAGAGATTACAGTGAACAAAAATTAAAATAAAGATAATCATTTTATTAAAAAAAAAAATAACAATAATTAATTAAACATACAAGCTTGCATTAAGTAATACATTTTATGATAGGTTATATACATAAAAATAAAATTGTATCAACAATGTAAAGTTATTAATTAAAAATGTTGTTTATGCTGTTAAAAAATTGATATATTTTAAATATGCATAGATATTTTTTATATTATTGGAAAATATGATGTATACAAATATAACACTATGCATTTTTTTGATAATTTAAAAATAAAAATAAGTATTAACGTTTGGAATAAAATAAATCTAAAAACAACAATATTGTACTATTTCAGGAGTATTTTTTTAACTTAGCAGATCTTTTTTTGGCTTCACTAGACATTTACCAACCAAAAGGCCACATAGAGCTACCATTGCAACACCAATGCCTGTTTTCCAAATGAATACAATTGATTCCCGTAAACTCGGTATAAGACTAGATTGATGAGGGCTGTATTTATGTCTAAAAATTAAAATCTCGTTAAAACTTATGTTTATAGACCATACTATGCAATCTTTATAGAAGCATTTTCCATTATATTGAAGGATATAAAATAGAATTTAAATACACACGTTTTAAATTTTTAAATAATACATACGGAAGTGAAGCCATGGTGGCTAAATTTGAATATAGTTTTTTGCCTTCACTTGAATTAAAAAACACATATGGTGCTGATAATTTGTTTTGTTTGCAAAATTGATCTGGTTGTAATATATAGTCTTGTTTCACTAGTGGTTTACCCTTGTCATTTGACACAATTAGAACAGGAATGTTTCTGTTCTGGTAATATTTCTGTAATTATATAATATAAATTAAAAATGTACGAGTTAAAAATAATTATTTCATAGTATTATAGAATCAACTTACTAAATATACATGGGCAATATATTCAAATGAACAACTCTGTGAAGAATCAAATACTAGACAAGCAACATCACAATTAATGTCATCTTTAATTAAATGATTTTCACTAATTGGATTGATTTCTTTTAGTACCAAATATTTGTCTTGGCCATATACTTGAACACGATTAACTGATATATTAGGCTCTATAGTATTTTCCAAATGATCCTTAAAAGTTTAGAAGAAGAAAAAATATAGATAATTTTATAATAACTAATATTACAGTTTATTTACATCAATTTTTGTAGTTTTCACATGTCTTTTGCAAATTGTTGATTTACCACTTCCCTTACTACCAATCACGTGGCATATATACACCGACCGATGAGATTGTTTTTTCTGCAAATCAATCTTCTTACTCCTCGTAACTGTAAAATAATGAAAATTTTTAATTAATCTTGAAATATTAATTTTCACTTATCTTACCTTGAACACCTGAAAGTTGATTTCCTGTCTTCATGTTATAGCCTAACATAGCTAGATAAGCTAGTGTGGTATCAGCTTCAACCAAAGTACAGTAAGACCAAAACGATAGCCATCCTTGAGAAGTAATCCATCCCTATTGGTATTCCACAATAATATGTTATAAATATTATAAAAACACAAAACTGCTTTAAAGTTTTTAATTTAAATTACTTTGTGATTTGTATTATATAGACATTTTCTCAAAAGTTGTGGTTCTTCTGTACACATAGAAAATAATGACTTAAGCTCAACTGGACTCAAGCAATCATCTTTATCTTTATCATGTGTTTCAAATAGACGAGACAAAAAATGTTCACCTTTATGAGATAACTCAATGGTACAATATTTGTCAACTTTTAAACTAGAGAATAAAAATATTATAAAAATGAAAAAACTAATTTTAAATGTGTCATATACTTAGGATGAAGATAACTGTATGAAAAATCTAATCTATCATTGTATCCAAATTTTCTAATTACAGTCCATGTGGTTTGTGCTTTTCCTTTGAGTATAAATAACATATGCAGAAACAAGAACCCTAAATAAAAAATTAATAAAAAAGACAGTTATAAAAATATTTTATAAAGATTTAGAAATTAACTTAAGAAGATTACTTTTATATGTTAAACAAAATTATTGAGTTCAATCAGTATATGAATACTAATTCATGTAATTTTAACTACTTTATATTCTATTTAAATATTAAAATCCATATATTATCTCTTACCATCAAGAGTAACACAATTTGATGGTGAAATTCCTCGCTCACAGTTCATGTTAATAATAGTCTTGATACCATTTAATTGTTGCAATGGCAAATGACAATCAAAACAATGACGCTGAAAATTATTTAACTCTTCATCGTTTAGCAAACCATCATTATCTGCATCACAAATCTAAAACACATTTCTATTAATAAAAAACCTATTTAATAGTTTTATAATCATATATTTTATTTACTTTAAAAATTCGGCACAAACATTTCTTGCACTTCTCTGTTAGCTGAAATATAAATTAACATATCAAATGTTTACAAAGATAATAAATTAAAAACTCATATAAAACATACAATTTTATCTTCAACAGAATATAATGGAGCTGTAGGGTGTAGCACTGCTGTTTGTGCATAACAGAACATTTCACTGATGTTCATTAACATTTTAGCCGAGCACTAAAATACATTTGTATAATCAATAGAGATCAATTTCAAAGTACATACATTACTTACTTGTATATAAGTTTCAATTTCAGGATATTCATATAAAACATCTTCAACAAGCTTAAATGTTAAAAAATATTATTATTAATAAATATAATATAACTAAGAATTATATGTTAAACTTACATGCATTGATATACTATTAATGAGATCGCTTTTATTACCAACTAAAATAACAGGGTGAAATATATCGTTGTTTAGTTGGCATTCTCTTAATAATGGCATCCATTTATCTCTAATATTCAGTCGGCTAGTATCATCCACAACAGAAAATACCATGCATATGACATCTGCATTACGAATCTGATCACACAATTCCTCGTGATCTTGTTCGTTTTCTAGGATTATAATAACCAAGTGTTAGCTATACAAGACGTATAAAACAGATCAATACTAACCATAATAATCTATTATGTCTGTGGGCACTAATTCAGGTGTAACTTCAGCAGGAATTGTTATTGTTTCAGCCCTTCCTGGCACCTCATCCAAAAACTCTTCATTGACCAAGGACAATATAATAGAAGTTTTTCCAACATCTCGGTCACCAACCAACAGAATACGAACCGAGCGACCAGCTTGTTTGGGTCCAATTTCGGAAGACATATTCTGAAAAAATGATTTAATAATAGTTTGAAATTAACATAGGTACTGAGATTTAGAATTACAGTTCCAAGTCACTTCTCAAATTTCTAGAACATTTTCTTAATATATAATAATATTGTACAATGATTTTAAAAAAATCTATGGGATCATAAATAATTAAGATTATGCACAATGTCCAGATTCTAAATTATTTAAATTTACTTTCTCATTCGTAATTCATTTCGATGACCGAAAGGCGAAAACGCTAAAAAATATTGTAAGATGATGATAATAGAATTTGATAAGAAAAAACCTCCAATACAGTATGACCAATTAAACATGGAATCAAATTTCCCGAGACTGCGAACCAAGTATATATATATATAAGATATATCCACCTTGCTGCAAATCACGGTTTAAGATACATTTTCGCCACATCTATAAAGCGTTAGTAGCATCATTGATTATAGATAGTATAGATAGCTCACTGGATGGTTTTTCGATGGCGTAGAATATAACTGCCGGTAGATAGCGATAAAAAAAATAAATTTATTTAAATTGATATTTATAAAATAATCCCGTATAGCTCCGTATCGAACCAATGTTGGTGTGCGTCGGGTGGGAGAAACAGATAATTTTCTATTACTTATTAGTAGGGAACGGATTTATATGTAATAAAAATACAGAAATATTTACATATATATGTAAGTATAATTTATAAAATATGTGCTAAAAACATCCAAATATGTGGGGGGAAAAAAGTGATTATTATTATTAAATTATCAAAATGATTTGTTGCATTGAATTATTACAATATCTTTTAAATTATCAAATGTTAAATGTCGCCTATTAGGTATCAAAATATTTTTAAAACGGCGAAATTATCGTTTCATATCAACCGATGTATAAAAGCATATTTCAAGTGCGTACTATCAGAAGGCGATAATTCCAGATTTTTAGAAGGGTGTCTGCCACTCATTATGTCATTGATTGTTTTAAAATCAATATTGCCTGGAATTTTTTTCTGTAACAGCATGAATTTTCTTTTTTACAACATCTATTGGTCCGCTTACGAGTTTTAATCGCTGATTCAACAATTTGCATACTATCATTTGGGGACATATTTTTTATTAATAATTTTGTTAAATTATTTTTAATTAAAATTTAATTATTTTCAATGTTTCATTTAGCATAATATTTTGAGCTTTTCCAATAGCGATAGAAGTTTCTGGATCTAATTTTGAAATAATTTCTTGTATTTTCATACGAAAAAGACGTATGAATAATGAAATGATAAAAATATGATTAAAAATATTTAAAAATTAGTGAAATATGTAAAAATATGTAATTATACTAAAATATGTAAAAATATGTAAAATAAAAGTATCATCATTTTAATAGGAATGATTTAAATCATAAACATTTCTTATCAAATCTTAAATATCTCGTTTTAATAAAAATATGTATTTACATATAAATCCGTTCCCTACTTATTAGATAAGAATATTATATCCCATGCGCGACGGGCGAAGACAACTAGGCCGAGCTGTTTCCGTACCATCGCATCGTAATCATTGTTTATTATATATTTTGTATTATAATTCATTTAGTTTAATAGAAATAAGTAATTATAGTATTTTTAAAGTATATGCTCGGTACTTACCTCCGTCTTATTGTAATACTTATTATTCTTTGTTATATTTAATTTAATTAATTACTGATTATTACAATTTTTAAAGTGAATTTTTTTTTGTATTATTGTATTCTAAAATCTCTTATTAGTCAGTTTAAGAACATATTTTTTCGTAAACTTGAATTTCATATAATTTTACACCTTGTGTACATAAGTAAATGTGATCTAAATAAAAACAAATTAAGCATGACTTCAATTAACTTATTGTTATACAAAAATTATTGATTTACAATTTTTAAAATATTTTAGAAAATAATTATATTATTAAATCAACGTAGAAAATCAAAACATACAATATTGGTAATTTTAACATAGTTAGATATTTATTTACTGATGTTCAAATATTCTTAATTTTGGTATTCTTTTAGTTGAGTATTGTAAATGATTTTTTTGCCATTTGCATTCTTTAAACACGCGAATAGTTAATAAAAGATTTATCATGTAGACTAAATGTTGCTGACACTGATCATTTTTCATTTTAATTGTATTTTTGTCTAGTTTAGCCATAATTAATTTTGTTATTGTTGACACAATTCCAATTTGACTACCGGTGCTCGGTGGGTCAATATTTTCAAAAGTTTTGTAAAATATAAACATTTTATTTTATTCAGTTACACACTAAACACATTAATCGTATATAATCATATATATTTTAAATATAAAGGAAAGTGTACTTTTAAATATATGGCAAAACAACGTTTGCCGGGTCAGCTAGTATAATACACTGCAATATCAGCGCAAACACAAAATTATTTTTCATAAAAATTTTTTATAAAATTAGATAATATTAAAGGTCCTCACACACTGCCGCGGTGGCGGTGGCGATATTAAAATCGCAGACCTGAACACATTGCGGCGGTGGCAATGGCGATTTTTATCCAATATAAACATAATATATTTATATATAACCATTGATTATAAATATTTATAATCAATGATATTACATACAATAATTGTGTATCCCATTACAATACGTGTGTACAAATTTAACGCCACCGCCACCGCGGCAGTGTGTGGGGACCTTATAATAAATAAATCTTGTACACTACGTACAAAGATAAAAACCAGTTTACAATAATCAAATACAGATCTAATGAGTTTCTTCTAAAAATAAACGACTGAAGATTATTAATTTCCCACATTGCGCCGTCGCTAATCAACGCGACTACAACGATAATAACGATGCCGACCACAACTAACTTGCGCCCGCAGCGCCACATAACGTTACCGACCAAATAGTACGCCACCGAAAAGCCATCCAGTGAGCTATCTATAATACCCATAATCAATGGTAGCATGTAGGGCTATATTATTACAGTAGACCCGACAGTAGATATACACATGACAAATTCAAATGATTTGCCAGAAGTTGAGCTTACTAATTTAAAATCCCAAGAAGTTTTCATCCAAAATACCTTTTACCTTCTTCAAAAGTGTATCAAAATATTTCAAATAAATTCAATAAAGTTACAAATTATTTTTATTACTTATTGTATCTAATCTATAATAATTGCAAAGGCCACAAGCTAATAATACTTTAAAAGAAAATTAAAATTAAATATCTAAATACATTAAAATGTTTTCAAATAATGCAGTTAAACAATACAAGAAACAATATATTAATAAAAAAATAAGCAAAAATCTGAATTATTCAAGTTGAGATTAGTTTGGCTATTTTTTTTCTTTTGTCTACTCTTTTTAATTTCTTAAATTATCTTGAATGCAGAGTGGCGCATTCGCATCATAATGAAATTTATCAGAATAGATATGACTATATTATTTTTATATTCGAAACATGGAAATATAATAGAAATATTTAAAGCATCTTCAACTGTAAGATCAAATACGGTTTTTTATTTGCAGTGTTTAGCAAAGCACTCTTCTACTTTGTGATGAAAGTGAAATAAATGTAAATTTGGATTGGTTAATCCTCCTTTAGATTTTAAATTAGTACTATTAACGCTTTACAGATATGGCGAAAATGTGTACTAAACCCGTAACGCATTCTGACCATCAACTAAATGCAATTTAAATATATGATAGCTAACCAGTATATCTTACTTAAACCGCGCTGCAAAAATATGATGAATTAGGTGCATAATAATATACAATATTATGGTTCTATGTTGCATACAGTATGCACCAGTGTTGACTCATTGGCACCTTGGACGAATAAACAAATATGCGAAGGTGCGACATATAGGGAGGTAGAAGCGAGAGAAAAGTATCGACACTTTTACTTAGTATGGAATCGAATGAAAATTAATGTTAGTGTTATTGCTCATACTTGCTGTGAGGTGATAGAAACAGTACAGCAGTCGGTTTTAGTAAATCTTTAGCCGTTTAAAAACGTTGCCTGGGATATACTACGCGGAAGTGATTTACCTTTGTACCCCTTACCCTTACCCTAAGGACCTGGGTGTGGTACTAGATAGAACGCTAACGTTTAAGAACCATCTAACTAAACTATCAGCGAAAATAAAGATTCGTCTTAGAATAATTGTCAAATTGAATGGTACGTCATGGGGAGCTGATGCATATACCCTACGAATACTAGCCAGTAGTGGTTCTAGCGTATGGGCAGAGTAGGCAGCTGCCCATACCAAAATTTCTGATGCCCCTCATTTTAAAAATGAAATTTTTATACAAAAATAAGATGTTTTATTAATTTGATTATAATGATAATTTATAATTAAATCGATGACGAACTTACTAAAATATTATACATGTAATAATGTTGGTACAGAGTAGAGATGTATCGTTCATGAACGAACTAGTTTATTGAACGAGTAGTTGGTGAACGATTGGTCAGTGAATGAACGATGACACTTTATGAACTAGTTCATAGCGGGTGAGGAGGGGTGCTGTCTATGAAAAGATATAGAGTGGGCGGCTAAAGGGCTCACCGCCAAGGGGTATTAAATTATTTACAACACTAGCGCCATAACGGCATATGCAATGTTCCGCCGTTCCACGTTTTAGCGTTTATGACATATAAATAAATATGTATACGATAAATTATATCTGAATTCATGTGAACTAACATTAAAGTATTAACGAAATCATGTATCGTTCAGTGAACTACTAGTTCACTGAACGAGTTCATTACTGAGAACGATGAACGGATGAACTAGATCATGGAAAAGAACGAGACTTGACATCACTAGTACAGAGTAGTGATGGGCTTAATCGAGATATACAATCGAGATAATAATTCAATTATATAACCGAGAGATTATTTCGAGTGATATTTCGTTTATTAAAACAATGAATTCTTAAAAAAATAAACATTTAAATTAAATTAACAATTAAACAATTTTCTTAAACAATAAATTCTTGATCTCGAAATGTGTATCGAATGAAAAAATAATTCGAATGATTTTCATGAAACGAAGGATTAAGGGAGGAATACTATTTTTAATCTTCATAATCGAATAAGTAAATACTAGTTGTTCTCTTTGAGTCTTTGTATTTTCAACTCGTGCTACTCGTGGACTGGTTGTTAGACAAATATCAATGGGTATACGGTTATTCTTAGTGATTTATATTAACTATAGCTATAATTTTTGAATTACTTAACCACAGAACAACAAAAACGTTTATAAATAAAATTATATTATATTTATATAGGTATTATATTTCAATTGAACATTTCGAATGATTCGAAAGTCACCAGAAGTTCGGTAATTTAAATATATTCATAATACCACAGAATAAAACAGAATGGACACTGATAACAAATTACATGGGCAGCATAGGACAATAATGAAATCAGTCAGCCATTTTATTTGAGGTACAGTAGGAAGTTAGTAACATTTTATTCCATCATGAAACGGTAGTAATATTCTTTATAAGCTACTGCGCATTTTTAAATGTTACTAATAGTAGTATTATTTTTCAAGGTATTAGGTGCAATAAGAGTTTGAAATTTGGGGGGCTTATAAGTCTTATACTATCGTATGACCATGGGTCAACCCCCAACCTCCCATCATTACCAAAAAAATATAAATTGTGTTTTTGTAAATGTATTACAATTTATTTGTAAATTTACTACAACAATGATTTGCATTTTATAGTATTATATCGATATAAACGTTTTTAATATACTTAAAATAATTATATAAATACCTGTATAAAACTATTTAATCATCGATGAATCTATTTTATAATTTTTTTTTTTTTTTAAACACTTCCCATTCTGAAATCCTGCACATGGGCCTATATTATGGTAGACATACTATCTAAAAAATGATCCACAAGTAAAAATTTCTTGATACCCAGTACGTCACCATGTTTCACACTGTTTGGTAGATCACATATTGAAAAATTACCATAATTGAAATTACAATTAATAACGAATATCAGTTATCACTGATTATAATTTGATAACAAAAGTACCTCAATTAAAATGGCCGCTGATTTCGTTGTCGCGTGTTGTGTCCAACCCCTGATAATACCAGACATAACGTGATAAGTTATCACTGATAACAAATTATTACAGTCAAGGTGGATATATAGAGGTGTAAACACTTCCTATATTGTACCATTATGATAGTGGGCCGAAAAAAATACACCACTTGTAATTGCCACCGGGAGCACTGACTACCCGATGAGGGCTCATAAATACTACAGTTTGTATGTCACGTAATACATTTTAGCATTTATTTTTACATAATATTTAATATATTTAGGGATTACAAAGGTTATTATATACATCAACAGATATTTCTATTGATTAATAATATTTTAAATTTATATAGTAATACTTAGTATTTAAAATATATATTTTAGTAATACCTAGTATTTTCAATATTGTACAACACATAGAATTATTCTATTTAATTTTAGTTATTATAAGTACAATATATTTTTACAAAAATAAACATATCATGACAAAGAGACTAAGAATATGTAGTAAATCAAGGAAATAATAAATAGCCATTACTTTAATTTATATTTAATATGAAAATGGTTACAATAAATAGTAATTATAACACAAGTAGGCAGCATGTCTATATCTGCTCCACAAAACACTATTTCCCTCAAAAAATGCGGTTAATTAATTAACAATAATTGTATTATTGAAGATAGATTTATGTTAATTAAAATCCATTTAAGTTACTCATTAATTAAATTAAATTCATAAATCATATTTTTATAGTTTGCAAGCATTGTGCATCGTATTTTCGTATAGAAATATGAACATTTTGAGCCTTCATCGGGTAGGCAGCGCTTCCGGTGGAAATCATAAGTGGTGTACATTTTTCAATCAATTTATTATCGAAGTGTTTACACCTCTATATATCGACCTTGATTACAGTGAAACCTCGGTATTTCGAACATATTGTATAGATATATAACTATTGTATTGTTTTTTTCTCAATGTGAATTTGTGAATTTAGTTTCTATTAATTTAATATAATGAAGATATTTTTAACTAAGTTTTCTGAACTTAAGGTTGAAAAAACAATTGAAGGAGACACACCAAAATCTCTATCAGTGCATACAAATGATTCTACAGGTAGTGAAAACATCAGTGTAAATAGTAGTATTGCTTTTAACCCGGAATCGACCAAACAATTGATAAAATCATTAAAAATGTTAGATTTAAGTTTAAACTATGAACAACCTTCTGTACAACCAAACATTGTTTATCCTTACAAATACACAGGTAAAAATCGGACAAATTATTAAAGGATCCAACTGCTGTCCTTGAAATGTTTGCAAGCATGAAAAATATAATTTCAAATTTAGCTTACTATTTTTTTTTAAATAAGTCTAAATAGTCTGAACTCTTTTGACAGTTAAATTTAAATATATTTAAATAAACATAATTATACTTAATTAGTTCAAAACTAAGGATTACTCAATTTTTTTAATATTTTAAATCTTTATTACCGACCTATTATAATTAATATAAAGATTTTAAGGTATACTCTATAATGTACCTACTGCTAGTATTTAAGGTGTTTGTGGAAGCTTTAAGGATAAATATTTTATTAAAAAAAATTTTTAGGGAAGGGGGAGGAAATGAGGAATATTATTCGCAGTTAAAACCTAATTATAAATCTACTGTTGTCCATACGAAAATGTAGTCCTAGAACCGCGACCGACTACTAGCACTAGTATATTCAGCTGCGGAATACTGCACCCCAGTATGGATAAATAGTGCGCATACCAATAAACTTGATACACAGCTCAACTCAGCAATGAGAATCATAGGAGTAATATTAAAAACTACCCCTTTAAAATAGTTTCCAGTACTGAGCAATATAGCTCCTCCTGAGATCCGAAGAGAACAAACTCTTTGTTGATGTTAATTTAAATATGTGATTATGTTTGTGTAATTTTTGTTGTTGTTATCATTTTCGTGCGATGTGTAGCGGTGCGTTGCGTATCCGTAGCCATCGTCGGCGGTGGTGATAAGCCTCCGTGTGCGACCGGCCGGGTACGTAATCGCGCTGTTATCGTCGTGCGTAAATGTTCGTTATTCCACGTTTTCGCGTTTTTCGGTTATGTTTTTCCTTTAATGTTTAGTCATGCTCTCAGTGCCACAAAAGTTCTTAAGTTCTCTTGTTTCTGTTTTAGTGTGGTGGCACTGAGACATTTATCTTCATTGTGGTGTTCGGCGACCTGAGCCTTCGTGGTGAATGTCGTCGGCACCAGCTCGCTCTCTGTTCGTGTTCGTCGTGGTGTGCACACCAATTCTTTCTGCTGCTGTTTCGGGCGTTGGTCTACAGCCATCTTCTTCAAACCACGTTTTTCTGTGTTTTTGTTTTGTATCGTGTCGGCTGTTTGGTAAGTGTCGTTCAGCGCAATTTGTATTGCCTTTCATTAATTGTCCCATATTCTAGGGTGGTCACTTGCCAACAGCCATTGTGCAAAACGTGGTTTCATCGTGTTTGTTCTTCGTCAGCGCTGTAGACTTCGTTGGTGATTGTGAGTATTGGTCGACCATATTTGTGTTATTTATTTGTTTAAGGCCGACGGGCCTATCCGCCAAGAGCATTATTATTATTATATATAATTGTATATTTATTTATTGTTTCGTGTGGGCCACACCCTTGAATTATTTATTATTATTGTTGCGCCGTTGTAGGGCCACATATTTATTTAATTATTCAATTATACAGTTTTTATTATTCAATTTATGTTTAATTTATTTTATGGCGAACAAGTATGTTCTATATTATTTAAAACACTTGCCGCGCCAACAGAATTTATAAAAACATAAATAATTTAAGAAAGACAGAGTGTGAAAGTTTCTTGTAATCATAGCATATTTGTGCTTTTAAGCTTAAAAAATATGTGAAGATAATGTATACAAATATGAAACATAACATAATCAAAGAAAATATTTTTATCATTATATAAAGTCATATCAGTATGATACGGTTTAAATAAATAAACTATACCAAGATTTTTCTTATAATATTAGGAGAAAAGTGTAATAATAACCAAGCTCTTGGGTACAACAGTACTACACTGGTGTTTGAGCATTCGTTAATTCATTAATCTGCAACCCACTATGAGCAAAATAAACAATATATAGTTTAAGATATTTTACAAAGACATTTATATCATAGAGGAACTTGAGCGTTAAATATTGTATAAATACATACCAAGTTTTCTTTATTTTATAGCTGGGTTTGATTTGAATATTATCATTAGCACCAATAACACGTTGAATTCTATTCCATTCCAAAGAATAAAGTGCAACGAAAACATTCAACAGCTCTCTCCCTATATTATTTGGAAAAATTAATCAAATTGAATGTATTTAACATAATTTAAAGACACAAATGAGTCATAGTCGAACGAAGGGCAACAGTACTACACTCATGTTCGAGCACTTGTTAATTAATTACTCTGCGAAACACTATGAGCCAAGTAAACAATACAGTTCAAGATATTTAAAAAAAACACTTGTATCATAATGGAATAAGAGTGTTAAAAATTGTAATCCGTACCACGATTTCTTTATTTTATAGCTGGGTTTGATTTGAATAGTATCAATAGAACCATTGACACACATCTATCGCACTAACACTATCTCCCTATATTATTTTAAAAAATAAATCAAATTTAATGAATTTAACATATTTAAAAAACAAATTTATAATTATTTAACATAATTAAAAGATACAATTAAAACATAGTCAAACGATAGACTTAATTAACAAATGTGAACAAAAGAATTATAAAAAGTGTTGCATATAATTCGATTTTTAAATTTTACAACTGTTTGTGATAATAGAAATATCAGTAAAGTCAATCACATTCCTTCTCAATGAAAACATCCCATAGCTCTCCCCTAATATTTTATGGTAAATCAAAAAAAAAAAAAAATGAATGTAATTAATAAGTTTTAAAAACACATTCAAAGCATATATTGTACAAAGAAAATAATTTACATTAAGGCTAAAACATACTGGGTTTACTATTATCCTTATAATATCACATAAGTTTTAATTTATATTCATTTCCTTTCATCCAAGTGTAAAAACTGATACTATAAGATTTATTTATACAAACCGAAAATATAACATTCAACATATATAATTGAAAGAATGAGTTGAAAAATGCATGGCATACCATGTTTTCTTTAGTTTATAGTTGTGTTTGTTTTTATTAGTTAATCATTAGTACCGAAGTAGTAACTGCATTATTCCTTAACAAAGAAAATGTTTAATGAAAACATACAACAGACATCTCCCTATATAACGTGGAAATATAAATCAAATCGCATGTATTTAAAACAAATATATAATAATATAACATGATTTAAAGACGCAATATCAATGAAAACATCCAATAGATATCTTCTAATATTTTTTAGTAAAACATATAAAAATAAATGTGTAATTAATAAATATATTAAAAACACATTTAAAGCATATAGTACGTAGGAGGTAAAAATCACAATTGATTCACAGTCGAACGATGGACTTAATAAACATATGCGTCAACAATAGAATTATAAAAAGTATTGCATATAATTTGATTTTTAATTTTTATAACTGTTTGAAGTAATAAAAAAATGATTTACAAAAAAATACTATAAGACTCATTTACTAAAACAAATATATTATTTTAAAATATAATACATACCATGTTTACTTCATTATTTTATAGCTGTGTGTGCATTTTATAATATCATTACAGCATTTCACATCAAATCAATCTGGTAAACAAAATATATTTTATATATTGTATTAATATGTAATATAATATATTACATACATTGCAGGTGTATGTAATGAAAACATCCGATTACCTATATCTCCTCATATTTCTCGGTAAAACAAAAGCTCTGTTCTAATATATTTTGGAAAAACGAATAGTAATTAATGTAAAATGTAATGTAGTACGAAAAAGATAATTTACAAAAAAGGTAGAGAACCAACATACTCGGTACATTTATTTCATAACGAATTGGAAAAATAAATCAATTTGAATGTATTTAACGTGTTTAAAAAAAACAAATTTCCAATCGTTTAACGTAATATAAAGACACGATTAAATCGTAGTCGAACGATAGACCTAATAAACATAGGCGTGAACAACAGAATTCTAAAAAGTATTGTATACATACTTTTTATATCCGATTGTGTTTATAAAAATATCATTGACGTCAATCACGTTGCTTTTTATTTTTTGGTAAGACGAATAAAAATTTATGTAATCAACAAATTTTAAAAACATGTACAGTGGAAAGAAAAAAGGTAGAACTCACCGGGTTTTTTTATTTACATTACATCGCAAAAGTTTTGATTTCCTTTCGTCCAAGTGTAACGACTGATGTTGTAACACTCATAACTAAAACCGAAAAAAATAACATTCAATAAGCGGTGGAACGAAAAAGTTTCAAAATGTAATAAATACCGAGTACTCGTTGTTTTATAGCTGTGAACGTTTTGAACAGTATCGTTAGCACCGAAGACCCTTTGAATTCAATTCCTTTCCGTTCAAAAAAAGTATAAATAAATCAAACAACAGCTATCTCCCTATATCGTTTGGCAAAACAAATCGTATTGAACGTACTTAACGCTGATAAAAAACAAACTATATTTTAAACGTATTATGTTTTCTTCGTTTCACAGCTATGTGTAAGCGTTCAACAATAACGTTACACATCAAATCAACATGAGTAAAGAAAAACGGATAAATAATTTTCGGTAAAACAAATCGAATATGTAATAACATTTCACAAAAAAAAGTTTGAAACGAAAAGAAAAAAACGGACTTGACGGACGGCGGAAAATGAATAGAAAAGAAACCGCGAGCGGGATCAACAACGCTCCCCCGTCGATAAGACACGGCGGCGGTAGTTGATAACAAACGGCGGCGGCGAATATCGGACGCGACGGACGGAAAACGAAAATAGATTCCGCGGGAGCGGAAACGACGCCCGTACGAATCGACGGCGGCAGTGGAAAATCCTGTAAAGAAGTCGGGCGGCGATGGCTCGGAATTGAACCTGGACATACGGGGACCTAATAGGACCTATACCTACGACTTGCCTATCTATCGAGTTGGAAACCATGAGAAAGATTTGGGCATTTAAACCGTTCGACGGGGACGTAAGGTAGACGGAAGACCGATCGGTGACGTCACGTGCGGGTGAAACGTCACGGCGGCGCGAGGGGCATAGGTACAGAACGCTCCGATTGGGCTGGTGCTTAATGGTCGGACATCTTGGATTTTCATCCGGTCGCATCGGGAAAACGGTGGGTCGGAAAATCAAACGGACCGCCGAAATGGAAAGAGAAGACAAAAGTCTACGGGAAACGGTCGACGGAGAAAGGAAAAAGCGTCCGCGGGATTTAAAAGTTTTTCCGACCAATCACCGGTCGGGGAATTATTTTAATATGATAGATAGATATTAAAGATATTAATTATTAATTTATTTAGTACAAATTACAATGTCATCAAGTGAAGGATTAGAAGTAATAAATTTAAAATTTTGTTCTCTTCAAGGTAATGATTTAAAAAATTCATAATATGTAAAACCAGTCTTGTTTGTAAAATATTTGTAAATTATTTGAATACATATACTCTCATATACTCATTACCACCCAATCAAAAACTAACAAATATTTGCGGAGCAAAAAATATTATATTCTAATAACCTAATAGTATTTGAACGAAATATTCCCTACAATAATTTAGAAACATAGGCCGAACTCAAAATGAAGGTGAAAAATATGATGCCACGTGAAAAATCGTATCTCCTTGATGAGTTGGCATTAGAAAGAGGTCATGAGGTGATACGACTTCCTCCCTATCACTGCCAGTATAACGCTATCGAGTTGATTTAGGCTCAAGTTAAAAATGAAGTTGCCAAAAAAAATAACAGTTTCAAGATGGTAGACATTGAACGTTTGACTCATGAAGCGTTAGATTCAGTGACTATAAAAGATTGGGAGAAATGTGTACGACATGCAGAAAGTATTCAATCCAAGACTATGAAAGAGAAGTTCACAGGGATGCCATATTAGAACCCATTATATTAACCATATTACAAGGTGATAGTGATTCGAGTGATGATGACACAGATAATGATGATGATTAAGCTATTTATATATATATATATATATATATATATATATATATATATATTATATAAGACATATTTGGTAACTAATTTCGACTTTACTTAGGTAAATTAAAATTGTATATATAATGTTTATAGTATTTTTTTAAAATAATAATTTGTAAATATATAGCATAAGCATATAAATGATAAGATTTTTTCAAATTAAATTTTTTATATTAATAGTACGATTTTGTTGTTTTGGTTTTTATTATTATAAATAATATGAAAATATTTTTTAAAAAGCGCGGCAATTGGCTTTGGTCGTTTAAGAACCCATTAGACGATTTAACCGCTTGGATCGCGTCGGTCACACGCCACTTTTCGTGTCCCCGACTATAGTAAGCATTCCAGTTATCATATAGTTCAATGGTCGCCTCGGACGGTCGTGCTGGGATCAGGCAGTGTGACCAATCCGGCGGCGTCGAGCGTGGTGAGGGAATATGTGGCAGTGTGTCCGCCACAATATAATTATCAGTTACAAATACATCCTGATAATAATTATTAACAAAATTTATATTTACAAAATTATTTTGTTCTTTGGTGATAATGAGTAAGAAGTTATTAATATTAAATTTTAACTCATGTCACAAGTTTTAGTATAAAATTAATGGTTTTAGTTACTTTACTCATCCATAATTATTATTTGTGTACAATATTTCTTTTAAGTCTTCTGAGTTGTATTTGTTGCTTATAAATGGTCTGCATGGAAAACAATAAGCAATTATGTTACGAAAACAAGGTTATATTAGCACCTATGGTTAGAATAAACACACTGCCGATGCGTTTGCTAGCATTGGACTATGGAGCTGATATTGTTTTTACTGAAGAATTGATAGATCATAGGCTGATCCGGTGTTGTCGTAAGGAAAATGGTAATTTTTTAAATTAAATAGTTGTAGTCACATTGGGTAATTGTTTTTTGTTTACTATTAGACACTTTACAAAGTGTAGATTTTATTGACAAAAGTGATGCAACTATAGTCTTTCGAACATGCTCACGTGAAAAACCTTATGTTGTTCTTCAGATCGGGACAAGCAATCCTGAACGAGCAGCTAAAGCTGCTAAAGTAGTGTAAGTACAATTTGAACCTCTGCAAGTTATAATTATTAATTACACTAACTATTTATTTCTATCATAATTAGAGAACAAGATGTAGCTGGGATTGATATCAATATGGGTTGCCCAAAAGATTTCTCACTAAAAGGAGGAATGGGGGCAGCTCTTTTATTTCATCCTGACAAAGCATGTGCAATTCTATCTGCAGTAGTTTCCGCTGTTAGTATACCTGTTACATGCAAAATTCGAGTGTTGCCTGATGTTCACGAAACTGTTGAATTGTGTAAAAAATTAGCGGCTACTGGAATTGCTGCCATTGGTGTACATGGCCGTACTGTTAAAGAGAGACCCATGCATCCTAATAGGAACCATTTCATTAAAGCCATTTCGGAAGCATTAGATATACCAGTCATTGCCAAGTTAATATTAATGTATGTTTATAATTCTTAGAAAATATACTTATAGTGTTTAAAAATAAATTTTAGTGGAGGATCTAAAGAAATTGAAGTATATGATGATATTGCAAAGTTTAAAAATATAACTGGCTGTTCTAGTGTTATGATAGCACGAACAGCTGAAAAAAATTGTTCTATATTTAAACATGATAGTAAATTGGAATTAGCTACAATAATAAGAGATTATTTGCGTCATGCTGTTGACTATGATAATATTGCTCCAAATACAAAATACTGTATTCAAAATATGTTACGAAATATCCAAGAAACTGAGCAGGGAAAAACCTTTTTGGAGTCTACAACCTTGCAACAAATATGGTTTGTTTAAAATCTGGTTCACATTAGATCGGTTTATTTATAATTTATATTTATGGCAAGTAAATGTTTACAACAAATATTATTTGTTCATATCCATTCTTAATTTCATTACTAAATATTTTGTCTTCACATTGTTGATCTTAAATCTTAATCATTAGCTACTTTTTTTGTCTAGGGTCTTAATAGTACTTACAATAAACTACCCATAATATGTTGATTTAACTGCTTACATTAAATACTGTACTAATGTGAACCTGTTTTGTGGATTATACATTTTTTCAAGTGTTTTATATTTGTATTAATTTTTAGTGATCTCTGGAAATTAGGCGATTATTGTCGTCAAAATCAGAAAAAAATGAATTGTCTTCGTTTTGAAGAAAGAGATGTTGCGTGTTGTGATCAAAAACGAATTAAACCCAATCCAGTAGAAGATTCAAATGATGTAAATAGTTTAAAGTGTATGTATATAAGAGCATTGTTCCCAAGACCTGAAGACTTACCAAAAACAAAATTGTTAAATTGGGCAAAAAAACACCATAAATCATTACCAAAGTACCATACAGAACAATTTGAAAAACTATTCAAAAGTACTGTAACATTTGATGATAAAAAATATTCATCATCTTTTTGGTAAGCCGTGTGTATATTAATTTTATTATTTTTTATTTATTTAGTATTGTATGTAATAAACAATCAATGTATTCGTATTTTTCAGGGAGAAAAATAAACGATGGGCAGAACAAGGTTCTGCAATTGTTTGTCTACACTATTTAAATGTTTATGATACCGATTATTTAAAATTAAATGGAATTCTTGGTTAGTAAAATAGTTTTTGATGATTAATAAATAATAAATTAACTAAATATTTTATATTATTTACAGTTTTTACTTTTTAGTTGTTTGTATTGATTTACCTTTTGAGATCATCACTTTTTATATGTATTTAAAATAAATGTTCACAATTTTCTTCATGATCCCACGTCTAACATAAATTATAATAAATTACTGGTATTCAGTGATTAACATTTTAATTAAAGATTATTTTGGCAGGAAATCAAAATTTGTTTTTCAAAAATGAACAAGACATAATATGTAAATATTATGTTTAGTAGGTATATGTAGATAGAATACAGATTTAAATTCCATACAACAGTGGAAATCTAATAGATACAAAAATACATTAATATATAATTTAGGTACGCCTATTTAAAAAGGTTATATTAATTTGAGCATACATCTGTTACCATTCATGAATTTACTGCTTTCACTTAGTGGTATAAAAAAATTGTATTATAGGTTATTATACTCACTTTCATACAATTTATATAAGTTGGGCTAAAAGTTTTATGCCGTCTTATATTTTACATTTGTTGTGTTTGTAGAAGTGTTAATTTTATTATTATTATTATTATTATTTTACTAAATTTTTTTTTCCATACTCTGTTCTATGTTATGTTTGATGATAATAACAATGTTAAAAATTAATTTTAATGCTGACCATCATCACTTAAGCCTAGAACTGCTATAAGTTTCTACTGTTTATTAATGATATATAATGTCATACCTCGCATCATTGATTAAAGATATTAACCCGTAACTGGTATAGTGAAAAACAAAAACGTTACTGTTACAGTGCGGTGTAGCATACCGCTTCATTTGATAACAATATTTGGAACTTTTCAGATTAAATTCTTAAATATTTTTAATCATATTAATTATAGTTATAGTTTATATAATCATTCTGATTTTTTTTTTTTCAAAAAAATGAATATTTTGTGTTTCATTGAATGAATTGTGACTAAAAAAAAATTGTAATACGATTATTTCTGAATCTTTTATTTTATTCTAGAATTTTTCAATATTAGTTTTTAAAGTTAAAACCTATATATTATAGTAGAAGACATACTGTAGAATAAGATAAAAAAAAAAAAATAACAATAAAAATCATTTTTTAGGTAAAAATAACTTAGACCAAACTTAAATTAAAATGTTTATTTTAATAAATAAACAAAATGTTAAACCTTTGAAAATAAAAATTAATACAAGAAACTTCAGATATAGTAGTAAAAATAAATAACTGAATATAATATATGGTAATTAACTAAATTTAAAAATAAAAATATAAATTTCTTGTTAAAAATTTAGAATGTTAAAAAACAAGAACATGGAATTAATTTGTTTAGCATCCCATACATTTAGAACAAACTGTTTTACAGCATTGTAGACATATTGGGTCTCCACAAAGGTAGCACTGGAATGTCGTTTTCCTTTTTAGTTTAGGCGGACATATGCGGCAAGTTTTTTGTTTTTTCAATTTACCTTCGTATAATGGCGTGTCTTTTAGATTTTTACTCTTTCCTAGAACTCTTCCTATACTAAATCTTATGTCTCGCAAAATGCAACCATTTTCGTATCTCCGTTCTAATTCAGGCTTCACTAGTTCAAATGCAAGTTTTTTCATAAAATCAGATCTTGATAATATAGAATTATTTTTAAATGAATTGTGTAAGACAAATGAGTTTACACTAGAGATATCTAAAAGACGATAAAATATTGCCAATGGCCATCGGCGAGTACGACGACCGGTACAGTACACCGAACATTTTTCATCTAATGCATCCACACCTCCCTTAGTTCTATTGTAATATGAAATAATTTCTAGCTTCTGTATATCTTCATCAAATTCTTTTTGATGGTGCATAGAAGATATTAATATAACTGCTTTACTTGGTTTAGTTACGTGCGATATAAGGGTTAAATCTTTAGTAAACCCGTATGTCGTTGTACCTACAATACTTTTTTTTTTTTGGTATAAATTCTGGTGGTATTTCTCTCTTATTTTTTTCTCAGAGTGCCAACATACGTTAACCCCCTTTTTTTTAAATGTTCGACTAGTTCAATGGAACTAAACCAATTATCTGCTGTGATATTTCGATGTGTCCCTTGTATTGGCTTAGACAATCTCAAAACTGCCTGAGTAGGTTTTGGAAACTTTCTTTCCACTGGGTCTAGTGTAATTCCATCAGTGTTTTGACCAGCATAAATATATGCATTATGTAAGTAATGAGTTCGATAATCGGTTATGCACATTAATTTTATCCCGTATTTCGCAGGTTTATTTGGCATGTACATTTTAAATTTACACCTCCCACGAAAGCTAATTAGCATTTCATCTATTGTAGCACATGAGCTTAGTGAATAATTTAATTTACAATTATTTATAAATTCGTCAAAAATTTCAGAAATAGCAGCAATGGGATTCTCTTCTTTTCTTTCGTCTCTTGTATTCGGATTATCAAAACGTAAGCAGTTGATTAAAAATAAAAATCTTTTTTGACTCATAACTAAACGAAATATCTCACGACCATCAGTAATAAATAAAAGTTCCGAGTTTTCATGGTTTGACTTAAAAACAGCAGTGTAAAATAATAATCCAAAAAGTGATCGTAGCTCGATTTCGTCAACGTTTGTTGTAAAACTTGACATTTGTTTATATTTTTCACGGATATATTTTTTAAACCAAAAAATGTTTAGTAAAATTTTACTATAAAAATAATATTACACTAAACATGTTTTTTATTGTTTGTAGCCTTAAAGGGTAGAATTGTATAGGTGGTTAGTTTTTGAAGGATATTCCTCATATCTCGTTCTTCCAAATTTATAAAACTAAGGGCTCGATTGGATTATTTTGCCACGGGCATTAAAAGTTCTGGTTACGCCACTGGTTAAACTTAATTCTGAATGTACGCTGTACTTTTACTACCGATTCGTTGTTTTTGACAAATGAGTCGTACGAGAACACGCGGTAAACGACACTCCACTGCTCCATTATGAAAACTAAATGGCATTATCTAACGGATCGAATGAGATCTTTCCGACTTACTCACACACAGCCTACGTCGAGAAAAACCCATCTATTTTTAGACCTATTTCCGTGACACCCTAGTAGAGTGTTTTTGTATGTTCTGAGTCCATAATTTTTTCCATTACAGGGAGATTCAAAATATTTGACCGACGGCACCACGGTAAACTTTTTTCGTTTTTCCCTGTAATTCCAAAAATGTAAAAATGTCATAGCACGGTAATTTCACCAAATTTAGGTAGAAAGTCCGTCTCAGATTTTTCGTTTTTCCCTTCTACACAAATTCGCACAAAACTTTTTCGTAAATTACGGACTCAGTATGACACTTTTTCACGATTTTGGACTCAATATGACACTTTTTCACGATTTTGGACTCAGTATGTCACGTTTTTCTCATCTACACAAATTCAAACAAACCTTTTTCGTTAATTTTACACTCAAATGAAACGTTTTTTATTTATAAAATGTAATTGAGGAAAAATCAGAGCAACATTTATGAATTAAATTTTCTACCGGCTCATGATTTTTTCAAAAACCTATTTGAAAGTTTTGAGTCTGTTTTTTCATAATCGAACACTGTGCCAGGAGTTCATAAAAACATAATCGAGCACAGTATCAGGAGTTCATACACAACGATCATGTATAACATAATGGATCACAGCACTAAGAATTAATAATTTTGTTATTTCAGAGAAAAACAACAATTTGATGAAGAATGTCCTTCTACATATATAATTTTTTTGTACATTTTGGACTCAGTATGACACGATATTCTTTTATGAAATAAAATCTTACTTCAATTCATACTTAAATAGTAGTAATTGATAGTTTAAGTTTCGTAGTCACATGGGCTAGAGGGCTAAGGCGTCAGTGATAATAAAAATAATTTAAATTTAGGATAAGGTAGGTATCGTTTACGATGTTGTTGACGTTAACATTGTCGTCTTAGCCATGTGACTACATTTTACTACGATTAATGATATCACATTTTTTTGTGCAATTTTTAACAATTAGACTGTATGAAGTTTAAAACAAAAAAAATAACTAATATTAATATATTACAAGGTGATGTTGTGTTCGAAACCCGCATTCAGGTTGAAGTTTTTTTTTAATTTTTCACATTATTTTATTTATTTTATTCATTATTTTAGTTCAACTGTAAAAACTAGATAGCCCAAAATTCATTGTGTATTTTTCTGTTTCACATTTTTTTTTTCATATTGATAATGTAAAAGCTAATGCTTTTAGTGTTATAATTCATTTCATCAGTGCTCGGCGTGGAAGATAAACATACTATTTACTATTGCTAGTATATGTTTATCAAATATTAATCAAAAATGGATTTGTTAGCAGAAATCGAAAGGGATATAGCTGAAATTGGTGTAATTTATCCTGTAAGATTTTGTTAAAATGAACTGGGCGATTTCTATACTCAATTAGCTAAATTGAAAAGTTTGGCTATTAAATGTGGATTGGAAAAGAACA